GATCACTTGGTGGCAGAGGCTAACAATGGGCAGAAGGTGACTTTCTGGGAAACCACTGCTCCAAAGTTGCCTTAAACTGGAGGCTCACAACTATGTGGGTTAACCTCACAGGATAGGGGTACACCAACTGATCCCCTCTTACCCATTGCACAGTTGTCTCACATCTGGGTTTTTGCTCAAGTTCTTCCAACAGCCCTTGTAGCTTAGGCTGAGGACCTCTCCCTTGACCAGTCTTGCCACAGCCCACTAATGGCAATGTACTTCTGTCCCGATTAATCCCAAGAGACAAAGAGCCACCTGTACACAGCCCATATGTGTCCACCCTCAGCACCAAGAGCATTTCCTTGCACAGAGACTGCTCATGTGGATCGTGATGTGGTGTGGGCAGGTATTGCAAGGTTCAGAGAAATCCTACAGTGACATGAACCTTACCTCTGGGCCATGATGCTCACCCTCGGTCATGTTCCCCTTTCTAACTCTTGCATTTTAAGAGTCCAGAAGCTCAGGGTTAGCTGTGGCAATCATTAGAACATGGAAATTAAACTGTTTTCACCAGTGTTAGCTCTGTTGCAGACTGCATCTTGATCACCTGGAAAAGAAACAGTCCAGTTATTCTTGCTCTGGGATGAAAATGAAAGTGAGGGTGGGGGGTAAATGGCAGAGGTAAGTCTTCCCCAGAGTCAGCAGTTGTCACCTTGCTCCCCCAGATGCTGTGGGAATGCACTGATTGGGTGTGCAACTGCACTGACACCACCCTTGCTTAGCCAATCTGTATTGATGTTGCTTACCTGTTGCTTTAATCTAACCTGGAACCAAGCCCTGTGCACTTTGGGGCTGGGTCACTTACTATGATAGTTTTGCATAAGAGCAGTGGTTAGGTGCTGGGTACTCTCTCATGTATAATAAATGAAAGAAAGCATAAGATACCAACATAAACAATGTGTACAGTTTTGGTATAACGTATTGTCAAGGTATTGTTGTGTTTGCCTGTGCTGTGAAGCCCAAAGCAGCTTCTCAGCTCTGGGAAATAATCCCTGCACCCAGGATAATCACTAGTCTCTCCTGCCTGGACTCTACAGAGCTCCACAGGGCTGACCATGATCTGACCTTCTGCATGGACTCAATAAAGCCACAAGAGAAAGAGCAGGAGGCCAATATATGGAGAGAGTGAACACAGCAAACAGAGATCAATGTGGTTTCCTGTACACATTGTTCCAGATTCAGCATGTGTTAATTCGGAGCACTGCACTGGGTTAGCCCTGCCGTGTTAGTTCAGAGATACTCTGTCTTGTTCTGGGAACAGCACAGCCACATCAAGGTGGCAGTGCAAGCAGAGGCATTAGAAATTTCTTTTTTTTTAAGACTTTGCTGTCAGGTTAATGACCCCATCACATAATATGGTCTGTCTCCAGCTTCAGAGCCATCTGGGAAATCTTTTCATGGCACAAGTCAGTGCAAGTAAAAATGTCTAAGAATGCCCTGTTTCCATCAATGGCCGCAAACAGACATGAGTGAAATAAGAACAAGACAAGTGTATATTATAGTTGCCCTGAATACTATTTCTAGCATTCAACAGCTTTCAGTGAAAGGAACTTCTTCTGGTGCCGATCCAGCCAGGTCTCTACATGAGAAAATGGGAATGGGAACAGCACATCTTCAGTGCCCACGTTCCATAGGAGTTTCATTTCACCAACACCACAAACAAGAGATTTCATGGGGCAGGCAACAATCTGGACCAGCGCATTTTGCATGAAACTCACAGAGATTTTCCTTCCAAAGAGGATGGTTTTCACAGAGGATCTGTTGAGAACAGATTTTTTGAAGCAGAAGAGGGTGAGATAAACTTGGAAGGAGTCGAAAAGGACCAGGCCACTACCAGAATCCATCTGAAATTCTCAAATAGACATTTCTGCCTTGAAAGGAGAGAAGTGCGCAGAGAGAAGTTCACATCAATCTGCTATCTTCCCCACATACACAGCATTTGGCTTATGGAATTATTGCTTCTAGCTGGACACTTCTAGTTGAATACTACTCTTTCTGAAGGATTTCCAACTTAAGTCTGGCCTTTAATTGGAAAGTTTCACCTCTGTAAGCAAGAATGATCCTTGAGGGAAGGGTGTTTCTGAAAGGGAACGCACAGAGCTGAACGTAGGAATTCCAATCCTAGTTTATCTCAGGCAGACAAAATTTGTTTCGATGGGAGCATTAAGCGTCCCGCAGCTTGATATAAACTCATGGACTCTTGCTTACTCTTGGCATTTACTCTTGCAAATGAATCATTGTTACTTCCGCCTCCCTGCCCACCCCTCCACTTCGTTCCTTTTTAATTTTATAGCTTCCTGAGCTTGACACTGGGAAATCGATAAGTAATTTAGAGCCCAGTAAATACAGATGAAAACAAGTTATTTTCTACTTTTATAAATATTTGGAAACCAAAATTATCTAAGAAAACAGGTGCTCAGTTGACTCAGCAACCCATCCATCAGCATCACACAGTTAATTGCATAAGATCATAAACATTTATAATTAGAAAGCAAACAAACAAGAATTTTATAAACAGCCCTCTTGAATCAGGCTGCGCATTAAATATTTGTGATAAGGTAATTAAGAATAGATTTACAATCCTGGCTCAGTGTTTAATACTTTGGAGAATGGATTTGATTCTGTGGAGAATGTTCTACAGCCAAGGAGAAAACATTCGATTTTGGCTCTTTTATCCAAGGCTTAAAGTGGTCTCAGAGAAACATTGGCTCTGTCATTGATCAGAGTGGAATTTCATTCATTACAGATCAGACAGCTCATTTAAATATATGTCTAATGTTCATTGTCATGGGCTGAGCCACTTCAGGCCTGCTTCAAAGCTCTGTCTCCTTGGCTGGATCTGCAGGCTTTCCCTAAGTCCTGCTTTATATGGTTGATGCTTTGATCAGAATATGTCAGAATTCTCAGCTGTGTTTCAAGTACAGAGGAAAACCCACATTTTTCTATTATGACATCACAGTGTTTGGTTATGAAAAGCTGGCATCACTACAGGAATACAGCTGTGCAATCTCAGTGGTCTGTGGGAACCAGAGGGAAGATCTCTCTCATAATGTAGTGCCCAATGCCATTCCCTGTCCCAAAATAGCCGGATGTGCATACTTAAACTATCCAATGTAATTACTTCTACAGCCAATACGCAGGCTCAGCACCCCATTACAGTGAATGTGAGAGTCCCCTTGAAGCTAATCTGTGATCAAGTCAGCAAGTCTTAAAACCAGAGAGGCTAGAAACAAAATCTGTACTGAAGCTAGGGTTTTAACTCTGTAAGATCAGATGCAGACCCTAAGAAACTGGGTGGCTGCATCCCATCAGTGAGTGATGGGGAGACCAGCCCTAAGGGTTGGGTGACCTCCAGATATTTTGAGTTTTGATATAGCATGGGTTTACTCCAGTAATTATCTCCCATCACAAATTAGAAGAGTCTGGAAAAGGTGGGTGGGGGTTAAAGCATTTGATTCATCAGGGTTAGCTGTAAACCACTTTATTCTGTGATGACCATCATCTCTCCACACATTGCTGGTCAAGGCAACTTCCTTGTCTGAGCATGATTTTGCTTCTTATTCCTTGTGGGTCTTTCGTTCTTTGCTCTTGTATTTATATGCTTGCAACAGGCAGGCAAGAGAGCTGCTTTTCCTCAAAGTGTTCCTCATAATCTTGATCCTGACAAAGAACAGTGAAGCCATCATTATTAAGAACAGTGAAGCTATCCGTGGGCCAACTCACCCAGTCCTACCTGCTGGTCTGGCTTCAGTTACACGGGACACAAAGACACTTTCCTAATGGACAGATTGCTGCAAAACAAGGGGACTCAGACCCCCTGCATTCTGCGTAAATCCCACTCTCTAGCAAAGCTTGTTAATTATATTACAGTGTGTCAGCTAAGCCAGTCTACATGAGACACTGCATCTTCCTCCAGCCTCAGTGGGGAAGAACAACACAGTGTTGCAGTCACTGCTGGACCTAGTATTTTCAAAGGGTCTAGCCAAAGCCTGGCAGCTTGAATAATAACAGAGCTTAATTCTCAAGCACCGCCATTGTCTAAACAACTGCTAACATTAGTTAATCTTTCAATCTTCTTGCAAGGGTGGGGAGGATGACAGAGACCTCTGGGAGGTGAGCTAACTGCTGGGTGGGAGGGCCTGAGCTGCTCACACTCTTTCGGATACTGAGGTCATTACAAGTCAGGTGTCCTACAGCCCAGTGCCATCCCCAGGACATCAGCTCTGGTATTTGCAGATGGGTAGCAGGACACATACATTCCATGCGTACTCAGCACACACAAATGGTGCAAGCTCATCTGCCCTTTACTTTCAAGCGTGTTGTTTTCCCCCTTGGTAGGGAGCAATGACGTACTACGATGAGGTACCTGCTCTGCAGATGAGCAAAACTTTGCCTGGGATGACAAACCACTTACAGGTATAGACAGGCCCTTTTTTCGCTCGATTGCCGCCTCTGGCCTCCGTGTGCGTGTCTGCTCTGCTGCTGTGTGTGTGGGGAGAGAGTCGGGCTGTGCACACACATGACGCTGGTGCAGCAGACGTCACCGGCACGTCAGACCCAGATACACCCCCTCCAAACACAGCTGTTAGCTCAGTGAATCATGCCTATGCAGCATGCAAAACTAGTCCAGTGATAGATAAACCTCGGGCGTTTATTGGTAAACAGATACTGTTTTGCTGTAAGAGCATCACTCATTCTGCTGCATTTACAATCCATTTATTGATTGCTGAGGTAAAGCTGTAATCCTTTTAATTCAGGGGAAAAGGGATCCAGCAGAGCAGGAGCACTGGTGCTCTTCCAGTCTGTAATTAAAATACATGATTTATTGTTGAATAAACACTGGCTGAGGGAGAGCTGAGCTAACCAGCTAGCTGGGGGCAGGATGCTGGGGTAGTTTTATGGTTCTTTCTAAAGTTTTCTTTCTGTTTTATGTTTATTTCTTTCCCCCTTCCCTCCAGGTCTAATAATACATGAAGGGCCCTCGGTTTACCGGATTTTTAAACGGTGGCAGGCGGTCAATCAGCAGTGGAAAGTGCTGAACTATGACAAAACAAAGGACATGGAGGAACAAAAAACAGGGACCAGGACAAATCAGCGCCCCTCCTCCCAAACCACCCACTCGTCCTCCACTGGTGGTACAGCCACTAACTCCGCTCCAGCCGACAGCGGGGCACGGGCTGCCGGCCATGCCACAGGCACCCTCTCTGACCACCACTGTGCTTATACCATCCTGCATATACTCAGCCACCTGAGGCCTCACGAACAGAGGAGTCAGTCTAGTAGTAACAGAGAGCTCGTCATGAGGGTCACGACGGTCTGAGACGAGGAATTCAGGAGGCCTTAACAAGAAGTGGAGGAGACAAAGAACTCGTAAAGCAGAGGAGCATGGTGTGCCTTTTTCTTTCTCTTTCCTTTTCTTTTTTTCTTTTTTCTTTTTTCTCCTTTTCTTTTTCGGTAACTGCACAAGATATAAGAGGCAGCACCTGGCCAGCTGAGGAAAAAAGCAGGTGGAGGGAGAGTTGCACACTCATGCTAAAGAGGTTAATGTTTTCCAGCCAGTTAAAAAAAAAAAAAAAAAAAAAAAAAAAGAAAGAAAAAAACCAACAACACAAATCACAAAAAAAACCAACAAAACAAAACAAGTGCAATACAGACTACAAACTGAGTAGGCAGAGTTCTGGGGAAGCAGAGGAACAGACGGTTTAGCAGGTCTTACAAATCCTATTACCTGGAATAGGTAACGCTCTGTACACACCCCCCGTACACACATGCACGTGCACACAAACACACACACATAGTGTGAGATTTATAAAAACAAGGAAGGTAACAAAGTATTTGGAGTATTTTTATTTTCCAGACTGTGATTAACCAGGGCTATGAGTTGTTTTGTTTCATGAGTCACTCTGGAGCCTCGTTCAATTTACCATAGGATACCTGAAGTGAAATGGCTGGGGATTTTTCAGTACTGATTTACAGAAAGAGAGATTGAATCATCCCACCAAGAAAATCTAACAAAACCCAGGCATACCCAAATTTCACCAAAAATCCTGTTTTTTTCATAATGTTCCTGACAAGGGGTTTGTGAGGGTGGAATTGGGAGCGGGGAGGGTGCTCCATGACCTATAGGCATTTTTGGCAAATTTTGTACAAACACTCCACAAGTGTTTCAAGCACAAGTACTGGTGTGACTTATGCCTTCATAACGACAAATCCAGCATCCAAATCTTGCCACTCACACACATCATTTTTCCATGCAGACATTCCAGGTTAACTTTCTTCCATTTTATTCCGATCACAAGAAGCTGACCCATCTCAGTGGGTTTCTGCTTCCTTGCTGATTCAGACACTCATGCATTAGAGATGTACATCTTTTCTTTTTGGTGTCTGTATCCCTGCTGCTCGATTTGCAACAGTCTCACTCAGTCTTGTAGGCTGAGCCTTTCACATCCAGTCTGTTAGTTTATTACAGAGTCTATTCCATTCAATCATTCAAGAGAGAGTTAGTCTGAAGAGGGAGCACAGTTGCTGACTGAATATATAACACTTTTAATAAGTCTCCTTCTCTGGGATATATCCTCGAAGGTACTGGTTGCTCTTCAGGAACATTCAATGCACAATGGCTGAATCATTTGTGGATATTAAAGGGACACTGTCAAGTACTTTTTAAATAGTTTTTAGGGTTTGGGCTTTTTTTACTCTCCATTGTTTGTAATATTCTCTTACAAGCTTGAAAATAAAATTTCTTTCCCTACCAATTTTGTCCTTTTCCATTTGGGCACGTATCGTTCTCTCCACTCACCCCATTCCTTTCACCATCCCCGTCCTTCTCCCCACCTTTCTTCTGTGACAGGAGAAAATCCATGTTACTGATTTCCTGCTGACTGTCCTTGCTCTATGGAGGGTATGTCCCAGCTCTACAGGGTTGAGCTGTTTCGCCAGTGCAACTGCCACAAAGCAAGCGTAAGAGCAGGAACCCTAAAAATACAGACATTAGCTAATTGAGGAGCAACAGCTCAGCTGTCCCAAAACCAATGAACCTGTAGTGATCAAGCCTCCCCCCAAAATTAAGATAGGGACTTCAGCCAAACCGCATCCGTTTAGCAGCAGTGCTGAGCAATGTTGCACAGTGGCTGTGTCCAACTGCCCTCCGTCATTCTACCAGCACCTTCTGCAGCTTCTGTTGGAGCCAGGGCAAATGTGAGCCACCAGCTCCTTTGGCAGCTAGGCCATCATGGGTCCGGACTGGAGAAGGTCTCGAAGCCTCCAGGTTCGAACACACCAGCCATTCTGCAATGTTGAAGATAGAGGTTAGCATCTTAAGGCAGGTCATATTTTTCACCTCAATTACTTGACAGTGTCCCTTTGAATATCAGAATACAACAAAACAGGTACTTCTCTGGCAGAGAATGTGGGAGGTGAAACACCAGCCGAGAAAGTTGACTTACTGAGGACCCATGTGAAACAGCATGGTTTCTGAGGCCACTGTACCTTTATCTGACCAATCTTACTATCTACCAAAGAGTGCTTTTGGCAGAGGGGAGGGAAGGGATGTTGGTGGGTGGAAGGAGAGGGCAATTCCTATCGTCTCTAAAAACAGCTACCCTCAGAATGAAGGTGTTGCAACGAATGGTCTCTGGAAGAACTGCTTCTGATCCGCAGTAGAGTGAAGCCTGGCCAAAACAAGCAAACGCAGCAGCCTCTCACCCCCATGCCTGTCCTGGAAGCTGTCCTCATTCCAAGAGATGAGTAATTATGGTGGTTTTGGGAAGGGGGAAGCATACACAGCCGAAGGGACAGCTGTCAGACATGATGTTGTTTCCCTCCCTGCTCTCCGCTCATTTAACATGGAGAAATCAAATTCTTTTAATTTGGCTAAGAGTTAAAAGTTTATGAGGTCAGAAGCACAACTTGCCGTGAAAGAGTGGTGTGATCTAGTACTCTGAGCACACAGGATTCTGCATACTCTCACTCCAGCTCTGCCACCGACTCTGTAGCCTTGGGCTGTTTGGCTCAGTCCCCCCTCCACTCAAAGGGGGAATAACAATACGTACCTACCTCACAGGGGTGTTGTGAGAATCCACGTTGGTAAAGCCTGTTGAAGTGCTAAGTCTACCACCGGTAGTCATGAAGCATGTGGTGGGGGTGAGCAGCACTGCCCTTTTGCTGGTTACAGTCCGAATCACTCAGCGGGAGTCCCATCGGCCCTCTCCTGCTTGGAGATCCTCCTCGATCCGAAGCGGAGGGTGTCGTCCGAGTGCCCTCTCCTCCATTGCATGACATTTTAAGCGGCTGTGAGGTGCAGGGTAGTGACAGACATGAAGTCCTACTTGACCAGGGATTTGCTACAATGTTTTCTATATCTGTGGGGTTTGTTGGTTTGGTTTTTCCATATATTGTGCTTAGAAATAAACTTTCCACTTAGGGCTGGCGGTTCGGGGTCTCTTCTGTTGCATGGCAATGTATACAAGTCTTATTGTCTGTCTTACTGTGCAAATGATCCCGCAGCCCAATTTCAGAGATGGGTATGATGGTCTGAGCCTTTTCACAGTGGCATAAGACTCAAAAGCCTGTCTAGACTGTTTAATATTTAAACAACACTATTGAACTTGTCAATTGTATGTGTTCTGTGCAATACGAAGCATGTCATTAGCTGGCTTGATGGGCAGAGGGGCTAAAGGAAGGTCAAAATTTGTTCAAAGAGCTTCATACATGTGCCAGCATGGAGCCGAAGGGCTGCCACCAGCAAAGCAAACTCGAGGAAGCCATTGGAAACTGTTTTCAGAACAGTTTACTCCAGAACAAGGTAATTCTGAGTTTATGAACTTCTAGGCTGCCAGCCTGAGAGAACAAATGCATATTTAGTGTGAGGTTTGGGGTTTTGGATTCTCTTCTGCTTTCATCCCCAAAGTATCAATGGCAGAAATACTGATGAGGGTCTCTTGCTTCCAGAGCACAGTTCTCTCATGTCCCACAACCTCCTTGTGCCATCGTTTTTGTGCTACTATGCAGGACTTTAAAAGGTGCAAATGGAGACAGTACGCTCCCAAAACACAGAGAATACTTTGTGTACTGGGGGACTCTAGCATACAGAAGAGACGGGGCACAGCTATGCTACAGAAGGCATCTCCCCCACATCTTTCCTCTAGTCTTCTCTGCTGGGTTCCTGAAGAGACGTTCTCTGTATTTTGTTAAAAAGCAGTCAGATCAGCTTCCACCGACAAACAAAGCTTACAGAGTTTGGCAGCTGTTTCTCCCAGTGGAGAAATTCCAGGTCCTATCACTGTGGAGACCCCTCAGTTCTTGGGCTTTGTGGTCCTCCAACACCGTTTGGGGGTGGTCAGTGTGGAGGACTGTGTTCAGCCATCATCAGAAATCGTGTGTGTGTGGTCCTGCTCATTCTTGTGATTTCTGCTAGTCCCCTGATTTTCCGTCAGTTTTGACAGGTGTCTTTCTGGTAATGCTCTTCTGGTTATGCTCCTCAGAGGTGTTTTGCTCTGTGTCAGTTGCCAATGCTATTCTTGCCTACTGAAACATCAGTGCTGGCCTCCAGCTTCCATAGCTCTTCCATTCTTACCGTCCAGTCTGTTGGTAAATACCCGGTGCCAAGGTCAGACCCTCTTCCTCTGTGCCCGCAGTGGCTCAAGGACATGCACTAAGAGAACACAGGGACCATTAAGAGTCTGTACCAATACTCAGACCCCATAATCATCAGTAAGTCCTCTTTGATATATATTCACTTTGCCAATCTCAGTGCCTGCTCTTAATTGGTTGTCACAAAGAAAACAATGCAAGCAAAACCCATGTACCCATCCAACGCTTGGTTTCCAATTTCAAAAGTCAGAAGGAATGGACTGTTTTTCAATGAAATCAGGTGTGTTCCCTGAAGGAAAGAGCAAGTCAGCATCACAGATTTGAGTCAAGAGAGGTGTTGGCTGTCCGTTGTTTTTACTTGGGGAGACAGAAAAATGCTACTCATGCCTGTGAGGTCCCTTCTTAAAGTCCTTGTATCTGGCAGCAGCAACATGTCAGAGCCAATGCCTGTAGATGGAGAACAATTCTGGAGACTTTCCAGTTCTGAAGCCTGTCCCCTGCCCACATGTGGTGGTCAGTCATTCAAGCATCTTCTCTTTGTTTTCCTCAAGATAAAAAAGATTATTTTGACTAAGCAAAGTACTACTACTCTTAAGTGTAGGAGGCTGCACCGTTAGCACTTCCAACCTGTGGTTCATTCACCAGGACTCCTGCACAAGGAGATCCTTGTGAGAACGCATGGTGAGAAGACCTACTCCTTCCTCTTACTATTATAAGTTGGTCAAGTACTTGGAGGGAAATAGTCAGCAGTGCAATTGCCTTAGTGACTACAGGTTGAGTATCATAATCTCACCTGTGATGGCCCCTTCTCGTTCCTGAGCCAACAGATGCCTCATCCCCTCTGCTGTCTCTAGACTCCAGCCCTGAAGATCTCCTGAGCAGACAGACACAGGATTCCTCAGACTAGTTTTAGAGTCTTCTACATCCTTCAGGTATCCAGACAGGCAAATTCATTTAATTGATAGGCAATGACATATTTGAATCTTGAGAGGAGAAACAAGTGTAGGAACTTATTGCATTGACCTTCACCTCTTCTTCCACATTGAAGGAGATATAGTGAAAACATCAGTTGGTTTCCATATGACAGCAATGAGCTGATGGGTCTAGGAGTATTTCCCTCAATAATGCAAGTCTGACACACTACAGTTACTGAAGGCAGTCTTTGATCTCACATCTATCATGCTGGATACAAGGAGAACAGAATCTGACACTTTTGTGCTGTTTACACAAACATCAAAAACTATCTTAGTTCATTATTCAAATTTCCTCCAGGTCAGTGGGTGAATTTCTTCTTTGATGACAGAATGATGTTTCCTCTTCCAGAACTGGAATTGCAAGATAAAATATATGTAGACATATACATATATATTTATAAATGTTATCTTGAAAACATAAAGAAAAAAATAAACCTGAAAGAATACTTTATTAAATAAGTCTTGACAGCAACTAGGGAGTTGCTGTGTGGAAAGTACAACATATGATTTGACTTCAGGCCAACAGAAGACAGAAGAGGGAAATGCTGTTATGTGACCTCTAGCCTGTCTCATGTTCATGATCATTATTGTATAGCATTTACCTAATGCAGAAGTATGTGGAAAACACTCAGCTCCAGCAGCGGGAAACAGACTGAAGACCCCTCAAACTTATCTGAGCCATATTCAAACAAGCACAACGATGCAAAAGCACAAACACCTGCCATCACAACTGTTTGAGAAGAGATGGATTTCTGAATAGGGACAAGGACTCAGAGAGTAATTATTTTCCAAGCCACACTGACAGTATTTTCCCCAGATGGTTTACTACTTATTATTAATCCTTATTTTTCCCAAGTATAAAAAAAAAAAAAAAAAAAAAAAAAAAAAGAAGAGGAAAAGAAAGGACTCTGATACCCAAGACTTACAGAATTAAGCAGCAGTAGAGAAGAGGTACTAAAGGAAGATGCTCCTTTATATGTTATGTTATGCATCAAGATGTGCTTTACCAAACAGAATTAGGGCATCACATTCAGTTCTGTGCTTGCTCAAAGAAAATCTGAGTGACTGAGTCTGCTCATAATCAAGAAGCCTTCCTAGAACGTAGCCTTCTACAGGGGACCACAGCTTCCCTCTGGATGGGATAACCAGCATTAGGCAGAGATGTTCTGCCTCTAGTTGTGCTCCTCTATGGCAGGACAACAACCTGTTGTTAGCAGGTTGTTAGCAAGTCACTGTTGGGCAGTGGGAGCATCTATCAGCATATATAAGTTTTGATAACAATAATCACAAGAATTGTACTTGCCCAGTGTGCCCCCACAAGTGACCTATCTCATTCTTTCACAGCTTAAGTTGGTGACAGAGCTGCTTTGCTCTTTGTTAGAAGACAGTTTTCTTTTAAAATCCATCCTGCTGCACTTCTCCGGGAGTTTTTCCACTGCACATTACAGAGGTTCAATTTAACCCTTTTTCCTAGAGGGATGAACAGATCTCTGCCTAACCCACATGATCTTCTTTCCCAGTTAGAGAGAAAAAATTGATGTTCTGCAAACAGCTGATCTCAGTATTTATGTTCTTATGAGATTATATTCCTCCTTCCCTTTCACTCACTATTCCATAATCTTCATTTTCATTTGGAAAGGGGTGATTCATTGCTACTAAATGGTAGAGCATCTCTCTGAGATGGGATTATGGACAGCCCTTCTACTCCTTGCTAACAGGCACACAAACCTTCCTCCTATCCCTCGACTGGTGTGGCCAGCAGAATCCCTTTTCATGGAGTTTAGCTTCTTGATCCAGAAGAACAAATGCTTTCAAGCAACTTCTTCACTGCTGTCGAGCTGTGGAATAATGGCATGGGGAATCTTTTGTTTCTTAGCCTCAGGGTAACTAGAGTGGATGATGTACCTGAGCCAAAAACATGGTGAGGACAAAGCACTTGTATTTTAGATGGTGGTAAAACCAGGTGAGGTCTGCTCTGATGACTGGGGAGCAAGAATCTTTGTCAGATTTATACAGTAGCAAAGAAAAATGGCCTTGTCCCTCATGTTTTTAGCTCATACACATCAGCTCTCCATTATGAACAAACCCTCTGTAGGCAATGCAGGCCAGGCTTGGGGAGGAAATCTTCCTCATTCCAGAAGCACAACCAGCTCATAGCTATGCATCAACCCCTTCAGGACTTTTGCCCCAGAGAGGCTGAGAGTAAGAAGGGAGGTAGCTAGCGGGGATGGCAAGAACGCTTCCCTGGATCTTCATCCCCAGCAGGCAGAGTTCCCAGTAGGCTAATTCTGCATTTCCTCACGTGAGTCCCCTTTGAGATTGCTCCCAAGGACTACAGTCTGATCCTTCACTACTACAGGGTCTGCCCAGGAGAGGAAGCAGTGTCTCTGCATGGATCTCCAAGCTCTGTTGGTAGGGTCCTGAGTCGGGCCTGGAAGAAATCACTATGTTCACTGAGGGATGAGTCAATGGTGTGTCCATGCAGAAATACTCTCTTTGAGACATCTACAGAGATGTCTGTGGGGTTGGGGGTGGGGGTGGGGTGGGGTGTTGGTTTTGTTCAGGGCAGAAGCACAGGGAAGGGAAGGCTGCAATGTAAGAAACAATCAGCCACAAGGGAGGGGTTGACTAAGAGGAATGACCATGTCAACTGTGTTACTGTCCCGTCATTCTCCTGAACCCAGAATGGAAACTTCCAAGTGCTCTTCATGAGCTTACGTTTATTAGAAAACTATTCCTGGGTGTTCAAGGTTGTTTTCTAATGAAAATATACATAATAAAAAAAGCAAATGAATGACTCTCGTTTATCTTTTCCTTTCCTCTGTTAACCTGTAACATACACTGTGAAACTTAGCTCCTTCCTTGTTTGTTTACTGCCATTCCTGGTCAATAAAATCTCTTTCTTTCTGGTCATGATCCACACAGGGCCTTATACAGTAAGCTTTCATCTTCTGCCTACACATTAGAGGTCAGGACTTCACATAAGGGATTTGAACAAAATGCCATGGTTTAGCCTATATGACACAATGTGTTAACACTTTGGCTTAGCATTTGTTTATGGCATTAAACAGCAAAAATCTTTTACCAAACATTACCATAAGGTTCACGTGTAGTGTGTTTCGTATGTGCAAGAGAGAAGCTTGAGGCAACCATGGTAAGTACAGACAAGTAGTGAAAAATGCTGCTATTTTCAGAGTACCTACTCTGGTGTGCTAAGTCCTTCCTAGGGACAATACAGAGCTGTCCTTGCCAGCGAACATCTCCTGTCTAAGTGGTACTGGAGTCAGCTCTTACTCCAAGGCTTTATCTTCTATAAATTGATGTGTGAACTTCGAGACACAGGGAAAGCTCAGAGGCAGCATGCAGTGAAAGTGAGGATGATTGAAGCAATCAGCAGTGCCATGGTAGGAAGGGGCTGGTAAAGAGCTAGGTTAGATCCGCAGCTCCTCTCCTGAACGCTGGGCACATGACTGCAAGCTGTACCCCAGAACATCATTTGAGGCTGCCCCTTGTTTCTGTAGTGCCCACTAAATGCCTAAAGTATCACTTTTCACCAGTCAAACATAGAGTTCATGAAAGACGACCAGAAGAAGCTCTGAGAACTTCTGCTGAAGAGTCACAGAACTTTCTTATGCTTACACATGTGAGGATCCTGTCCCAGAGAGACAGACAGAGTCTGTTCCTCATCCTTCCCCTGGAAACAATAAGTCCTTTTCTTCTCTCTCTTTTTTTTTTTTTAAATATAGGTCTATTCCAATAAGTCAATTGAAATACACAGAAAGATGAAGAGGAAGAAGGGAATAAATGGAGAAAAGGAAATAGGCAGGACAAGGAGCTGCTTGGAAAGAAACAGCTGTGCTAATCAGAAATGGAGACCAAAACCCAAGGGGTGGGGATATGGTGGTGGGAGCAGGGTCTGGGGGCAGAAGATAGGGAGCACGGATAGAACTGGCAGAGAGAAGAAAGACATGGTGTGAAGAGGCTGGTGGCAACTATTGATTACTGCAGCAATAACACTGATAGTTTGGAGAAAAGAGGGCACAACAAGCCCTAGAGGATCCTCAGGGAAAAGAGGAAGGAGCCATGAAACACTGGCAGACTGGACTTCACACAGTCCTCTCCAACCAGCCTTCCTATGAGTCCAGGACAAAAACTGGGTCTTTCCCAGACTGCGGTCTGACAAACAACCCATTATACCACCCAATTAACAAAAAGCTGCATCACCCAAGCTAGGCAAACATGAATTACTGCACACATCATCATCTTACCTGTAACTCAATTATTCTTACCAAAACATATTATTCCTAATGCAAGGAGGCCTCCCAGGGCTTCTTTTATTCTGTGCACACAGCTACATTATTGAAAACCATAATGTGCCCTGCACCTGCTCAGAGTAATTTCTTACTCCCGCCAGCCAGGGCTCTGCTGTACTGTAGCAGCTATAGCATACTGTGGTCTTTGCCAGCTCAGTGGATTTCAGGAGAACAAGGATGCTGAAATGCTGGGTTGCTCTAGAGAGCTAGAAGGTTGTCTGTAAAACAAGGAGGTTTGAGTGATATTACAGCCTGGATTCTTTCACACACCGACAGGAGTGTTGCCAAAACATTGGGATCTGAGCTCAAGCTGCAAAATTCGCAGCAGAATTGCAAAAATCACGGGCTTGAGAGTAAAATACATTTCAGACAAGGTGGTGGCAGGAAGAGGTTTTAACCACTGGGAACATGAAACTATTTTGATTTAGAAACAGGTGAAAGTTTCAGAACCTAACCTACAATGAATGTAGGTGTATCTGCCTGGGGAATATATTTATATGAATCTTAAAGAGAAAATAATCTGGTTTGAGAATTTCAAACAGCGAACAAGTGTCTGCCATCTAGCAGTTACTGACCACTTCCAGAAGCGATACAACAGCTGTCTGTTTAATAGCCAGAGGATGCCAATCCCTGAGGATGGCTAACTGCCTGCAATTACAGTGATAAAATTCTCAATGTAATATAGGTCTATCAGACAACTAGTTTAATTTTGAACAAGATCACCTAAGGGCCTGACGTAAACCTGAGCAAAACCAGCATGATTTTTCCTCAGGCCTGAGTGGGCACATAGGATCGGGACTGTGCCCTTGGGGCATGTCATGCTCCCAGCTCCTCCGCACTCACATCTTCTGGTTTTACAAAAAAAAATCCCAGAACAGCAGCGAGTGGATCATCTCTGTGAGGGCAGCTGAGTCACTCTTACTGCAGGATTTGCACAAGTCACTATGTCTACCATCCACCACCAAAACCCCCTCATCTCCCAGTGAATTAGTAACGATTAATGTTAAAGCATCGTCTTTGCAACAAAGTTTGTGTGAATCTGCACACCTGTGTCCAGTCACGCTTATAGGTGTAAATATATGGCTGTGTGAGATGGCACTCAAACTGCTATGGGCACACACAAAGTTAGTGCAGGGCAAGCCCAGGGATGTGCACCGGCTACGCTGTGACTACTCCTGACAATGTGCAGGGTCTTACCGCCCAACAAACTGGCATCAGTGGAAGTGTAAATGTACTTAGTTACCTTGCATCTGCAGGGGAAAAGAGCCTGTTCACAGGCAGTTGTGGTAAATTAGCTGAAACACTGTGAGTTTATTACCAAGATCAGTTCCTCATACATCTGTAAACAAGGCCTAACATTCCCAAGCAGTAGCCCTATGGTTGCAGGCAAGATACAGTCACAGAGTTGCACACTTTACAAAGAATAATTAAAGTATTCCTCTCCCTCTCATTTTGAATTTAGGTGGGAGCAACAAGCACTGATTACGTAATGTAAACAGTGTCCTGGTTATTTAGTTCACTAAGTAACAACAGACATCCATACACT